TGCTGAATGGTAATACAGATGAATAATGAGTTGGAAAGAATTTGGAAGGAAGCAGTTTAGCCCTGCTGAATGTACTATCCTGTCATCTTCTTTGAGGGATTAAGGAAATGCATGAAAAATCTTAGTCAGAATACCCAGTCTTCTGGTTGAGACTCAAGCAAAGTATCTTCTGAATACAAGTCTCGAGCATTACTGCTATGTGAATCCATTCAGTATGGCTGTTGTGATTGACTACTTTAACATTTCTGGTAAGTTTACAATCCAGCTACTATAGTAATATATATATATACATATGTTATATCAAACATTTCTTTTAGCACAGATAGATTGACACTAACTTACTTCCTTACTGTGTAACTAGTAAAGGACTCGGTCAAAGATGAATCCTCAAAATTAAAGACTGAAGATGTGATGTACCAAGTGTGGTCAGGGATATCACACACCTCAGATACCACTGCAAGAACTTAAAATAATCTTTCCATAACACAAGACAGGTTTGGACAACCCTTTCTGACTAACAAGCTGACATACTGGAGTAATATTTTGTAGTGTCTTATCGTTAAATAATAACATATACATAAATTACTGCACTATATTTGGAGTTTGCAGATTACAAAATCCACATACAATATAAAAAAAAATAAGACTTAAATAACTGATCTAAAATATAATATCTTCAAGATATACACTCTGAAACTTACGGCCCAACTTACTTCACAGGAGTTTCTAATTCTGTTTACTAGCTGATGTTGCAATTTGAATGTTCTTTTGAGATGTGAATTAGTAAATATATATGTATATACACTCAACTCTCGATTATCTGGGGGCGGATAATCCAGTTTGCAGCTTAACTGGGGCTACCGGGGCTTTTTTTGAGGCTTATATGTTGTTTAATATTCATTCACTTTTGTTTCACATGGTGAGTTGTAATACTATTTTCACACTAGTGTGAACCAAGCTCTGCATTTTTTGGTCCGTTATGCTAACACACTGTTTTAGGGTAGGGGTAAAAGAATGCAAGGATTTGTGGAAAGGTTCAAGGACAGATACACCACCCCAGTTAGTCTCTTTGTATCGGTCTTCAAGTACGTTAGCAAAATGTCAGGGTATAAAAGGAAGCATGTTGTGTTAAGTATTCAACAGAAACTCGTGTAAGTTGGGCTTCGAAATGTTAAGCAGTGACAAAATCATAAGTTCAGTGGGGGTGCAGCCAGAAGAGTAGGAATGAGGAAGAGGTGGACAGTGCTGCTAGTAAGAAAATATCACATGGTGCTGCTCTTAATCATTTGGAATCCTTACTAGACTATCCTGAGAGTGAAGAGAATAGTTTATTAAGTGACAAGCTAATATTATGTAAAAAGGAAAATGCCACGAAAAAGCAAACGACAATATTAAATTTTTTTAAGTGTTAAGTGTGAATATTTGTAAAAAGTGTTGGATGTTGTTGAACACTGTGACTGAAATAACTAATTCATACTTCAGTGTAATGTAAAGAAAGTATTAAATAGGCCATGAGATGACATAAAAATGAGGTTGAATAAATTTAAATACAGGTACGCCTATAGTAGTATGAAGGAACAGTATTACAGTACTACTTTTAATCAAATTTGTCTTAACTGGGTTTTTGATTAATCGTGATTTCCATCCCCACCATTATCCCGGATAACTGAGAGTTGAGCGTATATGCCTTTTTAAATTTTGCAACCCTATGCAAACATGTCTAAAACATAAGAACAATGTTGCCAATTAATGAAAATGCAAATTATTTTTACTTTGTGAACCTAGTAATGAAATTAACCCAAAATGACCATTATGCCATGTAACCACTAAGAGCTTTAAGGTGCAAAACTGCAATGTTGTGTCTTTTTAAGTTATTACACTATGAACCAGATAAAAAGATGTCTGTATTTGGTCTCCTGGCTTGGTGCTGCATATGTCTGACAGAAGACTTAAATAAAAGAATGAACCTCTTCTTACAACATTTAAAAATCACTTAATTTCTATCACATGTTCTTCACAAAATACAAGAAAACCTTGAATGATCATGCATAGGAAAAAAATAAATTATGAATGTCAGATATTACACACTCGTAGATATCCTGCTTTCTACATTTAATGATTCTCTATAAAGATTTATGATAATGGTTAAGTCACTGTATGCTGGACACTATCCAGTGTCTAAGACCTAAGTTATATATAACATGCACAATAGTCTGTAAACTGGATCCATTTCTGTCACCAATTATAAGGGGTAAATGATCCTACTTATCTGGGCCCATTAGAAAGGGCTAGTCACTCAGTGGACTAGTGATTGAGACTAGCTCTTTCTAATGGGCCCAAGTGAGCAAATTCCTTCTTCCTTGCATATCTGATGACTGAAACATCCACTCTCCAAAATATTATGCTTATTACAATATCTCCCACAAAATGGACAATGTCAAACATTATATCTGGATAATTTTTACAATTTAGTCAGATGAATGACCGTGTATTAAAATATACATCAAAATCACAAACTGGGCATATTTTTGATGCATATGGCACTGTTTTCAACCTTACCTTCATTAAGGTCCATTTATTTTAATATCTATTGGACTCATTCCAGCACTACATATTCTGAGCATGATTTCCTGTATATCAAGCTGATTCTGTAAGAGGACCAGAAAGACTGAAACCAATAAAACCCTGCAGCATATCCCTGAACTTGGCAACACCTAACCTTCTAGTCAGATACTCTTTCCTTAAACATGGACAGTGAACTTAATCAAGCACACTGGAAATGTCTCCTCCTATCTTTTCTTTATTATTTGTGTCATTGCAAATACACTTTCTAAGTATGATCTTCCTTTATGGCATCCATTCTGTTCTTCCATCATTACCGTTTCTGTTATAGGCTTTTATCTGTTACATAAGATTCTTCAGTATACGAAGGGGGACCCAAAATNGTGCGTGAAATTTTGCTTTCTGTTAGGGAAAACTGCACTTCACTCTTCAAGTCGCGGCAAACATTCACGCGGTTTTCTCTTTGGTCATCTCCGAGCAAGCGAGGAACAAATTTTGCAGACACCCATCTCATGTGCAAACCTTCGGTTAAAATTCGCTGGACCGTGCTCCATGAGATGTTCGTTTCCTCAGAAAGTTGGTCAATGGTCTTTCGACGATCTTCATCAATTTCACGCACACTCTTTGTTCCTTCTGGTCGGCCATCTCACTAATCGCCAAAGGGTTGAAACAGGAACGCACACAACAGAGCACCACAGACAAACTACTTAACTCAGACTGACGCCAGCTCACTAACAGTTGCGGGAGACCCCCAGCTAACACCACCTAGCAGCACAACTCGTAACTACAAAGCATGCGCGCACAACAGGTCGTTTCCGGTTATTTTTGGGTCCCCCCTCATATGCTACATCCCAAGTTCAAAATACTGATACCTGTATAGTTTCTGTATTTATCTCTTTTCTTTATATAAAAAGCAATTTCCAGTTGTCTATGGGTCATGAATTGGAAATTACACGAGTCTCATTCATTGGAAGTAATGATGAAAATGAGATATGTAAATATTAGAATCATGGCAAACAAGTCTGGACAGCAAGCCACAAATGAACACCCTCCTTCAACTCATGGTTGCTGGCAAAATGATGCCCTCTTAAAGCATTTCTTAAGTCTCTGAAGAAATGAAAATCCAGCTGATCAATGTGTAAGGGCTGTTCTCAGATCTCAAAGCATAGCTGCTGGAATGTTTCACGAGTGTGGGAACAGGCACTGTCATGCAGCAACAGAACACCTTTTGACAGCTGTCTCTCGCATTTTCTCTGAATTGCCAGCTTCAGCCCATCACACAGCTTCTCACTGTAACATTCACTATTTATCACAACATCCCTTTCCTGAAAATGCTCAAGGACTGGTCCATTTGAATCCCAAGTGTGAACATACCTTCTCCAACTACTGGCTGAGTTTTAAACTTCTTTTTGACAGTGGATATCAGGCATTTCCATTCCACAAGCTGAGATTTGTCCTCTGGCTTGCAATGGTGGACCCATATTTCATCATGAATGAAAATATGACTCCAAAAGATGTCATCTTCATGATATTGGTTCAAGAGGCAGTTACAGACTTCCGGACAGTTAGATCTATGCTATTCCATGAACTGTTTTGGAACCCACCTTGTATAAACACTATGAAAGTGAAGTTTGTGGTGGATGACTTGACAGGCAGAACTCTGACTTATCTTCAGTTGGTTTGCCACTTCATTGATAATCACGCTCTTGTTGTTGAGAATTAGTGCCTAAACTTATTCCATGTTCTTTTCAGCAGTCAATAAGGACAGATGCTGTAATCATTCTTCTCCAGTGACACTTATTGAGCCATTTCTGAACATGTTACTCCAGTTTGTAACCAACCCCCTTCCTTTCTTTGTACTTATGTGCCGACTTCAGCAGGTCACTTAACTCCTCTCAGGTGCGTATCACGGCAATAACCAAGGCAACCAGAAGCAGAACCCTTCAAGCCAGTTCAATGCTCCAAATAAACTACAACTTCCACTGTTCATAAACTGTGTATTTGTCCAAAAGTGAAACTTTGCAACTTTCTTCGCAAGCAAGGTGTAATATGGCCCTTCAATATTTTCAAAGTTTAACATTTCAAAATGAAGGGCTGATTATTTTAGAAAAACATGAGTAGTGCAGTCCAATCACCTCTCACTCCGTTTAATGAAAGACGCCAAGTTCCCAAAGACAGTTATCTTGTGAGAGCATCGCTTCATCCCCTAAGGATTTTTTTATTGACGGAATTCCTCCCAGACAAGAATTCATCTCCAGTTGGCTGAATTTAACTAGCCAAAGTCATTATTCAATCAGCACAAGCCAATTATGTGAAGACTTTTGAGAATAAAACAGTCTCCAAGATATAGAAGTCAGACACCCACACGTGAAAGCAGTTACATTTTTCAGTTTAGGGTAGAGTTACACCCTTCAGATGGCAATTTATGATGNAGGCAGTTGTCTTCTGTCCAGATACTAATTACTAAACCAGTCATTGCTTCCGAAATGACTAAAGAGGACAATAGTGTCCACGGAGAACCTTAACAGGTTTGGTCCATTACACTCTGCATATCCTTTGCTGTGACAAAACACTGTTGCTGTACTGTGCTGACAGTCTCTGATGAATTTCTGTAACTCACACCTTCAGTACAGTAAAATTGAATCACTGCACGCTCCTTTATTTTGTTTCATGTGGCCAGCGGATGATGATGCCACCATTGTGAAGGACAATTGATTCAATGACAGGGAGACTGCATGCATATTCACCAGTGGAGTCAATCACAAAAAAGATGCACTCTATTGATACTTCCCGACTCTCATAAATGAATACATAACAGTTACAATATGCCTCAGTCTCCTTCACAAACTATTGCACATTTTATATACTAGGAGGTATGGTCATTATTTGGTCAAGTGAGGAGGAAACACACAATTTTTATTGCAAGATATATTTCAAAAAATGGGAAAAGAAACAACCTGATTCACAAACCGTATTAATATATATGTGGGTCATGAGACTTCTATAATTTACAATGGACCATGTCATTAAAACACTGTGACCCTCAGACCGGCTCAGCCTCATACCCATTGGATACTGGGGGTTCCTTTCCCAGGGTAAAGTGGATAGGACATGCAGCTATCAGTCACCTCCATTTAGCACTGAGGTGAAGATGCATGGAACTATACCTACAATCGCTTGTGCTTAATTAAGCACAGGGACAACTTTACCACATCATTAAAATTTTATTTTACGGTGCTGTATTTTATTTGCAGGAAGACAGGAGAGCTGGAACACTGACCAGAACAGAAGTCCTTGAACCTAGTGCCCAGACAAGCATATTATTAGCATCACTAAATGGTTCCTTTCTCAAATTCCAAATTTCATCACATGAACTAACTTTGCCATATTTTATGATAAACACTATTTTGAATTTTGTTTACAGAGCACACCTTAGTAGCTATTCCATTTTTGTTAACATTATCTGCAATTTATATTAACTTTTAACAAAAGTCACTTTACTTAAACAACAAGCCTAGAAAATGGTACCCAACGAAACCCATTAAACCTTTCTATGACTGGTGTAACTTAACAACCTGGAACTGACAAACCAATAACAAAAACTCAGAGATTTTAATACCTTATGTTGGAAGTCAAAACTAGTCTGACTTCACACTCACTGATGCTTGGCAAAGCAGGTACTGGTGGTGATGTGTTGGAGCTATGAAGCAGACATAATGCACAGAATCATTTTGTGCCATATCCCTGTGAAGATGTGAAAAAGGCAGCAATAAAACCAACCTAAAAGCAAGAATTCACATATTAGGCATATTATAATTACTACAGCTGAACAGTATATTTTGGTTGAGTCTTAGTTGTCTCTGGCAAGCCTGAATATTGAAAAACTAAGTGGAAAGAATGGTTTTATATGTATATATATATATATATGTGGTGTCTCCATCTTCTCGTTGTGGGGGGGTTTGAGTATGCCAAGGACCCTGAGAGCTATA